GCTTGTCGACTAAGTTGCCCAGCTGTCAAGATGTTAGATTCAGGATTTACAATATTTTTTTTTTTTAAAAGCTGGCGGAATAAAGTATTTGTTAGGGCATCTAGTTGATAGGTCTTTTCGCAGCACTGCATTTTCCAATTAAGCTAGTTTCGACATCTCACTGTGGAAAGGAAGAGTGCGGTTTTTTTCTTAATTTTTTATTTTAAATGATATCCTCCAACATACAGAAACACGTTCCAGAATGGTGACGATCAAGTGACATGGTTTCGCTGTAACTGGCTTTTTGCCGAATGCTATCTGTATCGGCGGATGGCGAGTGCGTTTATGAAAACGACAACTTTAAAAGGATTTGATCCATTTGCTTCACAAAAACAGAACTCGTTTATTAGCAGGTTACTTATTATTGTTATTCGACAGCAGCAGCTTTTTTATCAGTTTTTTGCTGTAAGACTACTGCAATATTACCATCATTTTTATCATTATTACTGCGTTATCAGTGCCGCAGTCTGAAAGCAAGTTATTTTTTAAGCTGTTTGCAATGAAATTAATGCATCTCATACTGCGTGTTTGACATCTTACCTTTTTTAGTAAGACCTTATTAGCAAAAGCAGAAATAGTAATAATAATAATTGTTGTTGTACTTGTAACAATGATAGTGGTAATAATAATGATAACCCTTATAACGGTTGTTGTTGTTGTTAGTGTTGTCTTCATACCTTAAAAATAGTGTCGGAGAACATGTCATTTATTATCTAACGAACTGATTCACTAAGTTATATATTTCAGCATTACCGCAATGACTGTGTTGGCGAAACGTCTGGAGGAACTGACAACCAAATCAGCAGCCGTTGATAACAACATTATCTCTCATTTCTTAAAGGTCTTTATATTTGTTAAAAATATGAACAGCATGGTTACCAGGGCTGCAGACTTTTAGTCCGAATTCTGTTCAGGTCTGTTTATGGGGTAATAAATGCGATTTATCGCTTTCCTGTGGCGAAAATGTTGCGTCATATTCACCGTTGGATATGGTTGATCAGCTGGCTGACAAAATCCTCTGTGATCAAGTTGATGAAGCGGAACGTATCCTGAGGTACTAATGCAATTTTCTTTTGAGAAAACAGAAATAAATGCCAGGATCATCAACAGGCCGACTGCAGCAGGACGCAACCGCGGTGAGAGCAGTGTCAGGAAGGTAATTAGCTGTATCAGTAACGTTAAGGCTGCTCAGCTGTGAGACGGCAGCTAATCAAAATAGCATGGCTTCCACTTCCAGCAACTTTATGAAATCTGTTAACCGGTCATGAATTTGTTTCGGTACAGAAACCGCTGAAGTTGGAGATTCTTTTGTGCAGTCAGCCCCGCTGTCCGTGAATTTGGCGAGTAACGTTTTTAGCTGATCCCCGTTGCTTTTTGTCTTTAGAGGTGCAAAAAACTTTGTAGATGTTTAGTTTGAGCTTTACGGGAACATGTTTGTTCTTTCGATGTCTCTGTGTGCTGAAAATATGCTCGGAAATACATCAAGGACTTCTAGACTCTGTATGTGAAGGAACTGCAAACGCAACCTGGCTTAATTATTTTACGGATTTACTCTTTAGTCCATGAAAATTGAGTGAAGTGTTGTTTTTTTAGCAGCGGCAGAGTGAATCGTATTGATATAGTTCTTGACAATGCAGGTCTTGAACTGTTCGGTGATCTAGCAGTTGCAGAATTGTTGGTCGACAAGCGTGGCGTTCACAAAGTCCACTTTCATGGAAAGGTTCTTTCTTGCAATCACTTATCTAAACGACAAAATTGCCAATTTCCGTGTCTCCAGCTGACAAACATATGTCCGATGCTTTATCACTTCATAAACCGTTAATTTTTCGTAAATTTTGTCCACTTTGGTACCACTTTTTTATTGAGTGATAAAAATTTGCCAAGGACGCATAAATACCTACTTTGAATCATGAGTGCCGTGATATTTTGGGGGGGGTTAATCACCCTAACTTCCTGTGGCATTTTTTTTTTTTGGCAATTACAAAACCTCTGCTCGGCTCGGCTAGTCTCATACACGAGCTGCAAAAAATTTTTTCTGCCGACGGCAGGTAGGGCTGCCCCACAGCGGATGGCGGCGATTTGAATGTGGGATGTGGAAATGGGGGTAGAATGTGGCGGGTTTCATTCAAGGCAGAGGAGGGAGGCTGGGATAGGTGGATATAAGGACTAAATGGCGTAAATCTTTTGCCGATTGACTAAGTAATGTACATTTGAGGGGAGAGGGGAGCGGTGAAGAAAGCAAAGGATGAGGAAGTGTGCTCCTGGGACTTCTCTTTTTATGAAACTGATGCTTAGGTAAAGCTGTTCCACAAAAACCAGCCATTAGGCTTCTTTATTTATCAAATTGATGCTTAGGTAAAGTTGCCCCACGAAAACCGATCATTATACTTCCTTTTTGTGAAACTGATGCTTAGGTAAAGCTCCACAAAAACCCGTTATTAGGCTTCTTTATTTATGAAACTGATGCTTAGGTGAAGTTGTTCCACAGAACCCCGTCGTTGGGCTTCTTTATTTATGAAATTCATGCTTAGGGGAAGTTGTTCCACAAAAAGCTTTATTTATAAAACTGATGCTTAGGAAAGCTGTTTCACAAAAACCCGTCATTAGGCTTCCCTGTTTATGAAACTGACGCTCAGGAAAAGCTGAGAGCGAATAAGTTCCATGAAGTAGGCAAAAACAGGGTAGAATGGATGCCTGGGATTGAACCTAAGCATAAGCTTCAGTAAATCTCGCCGAAATTATTTGCCCTCAACTTCACTTAAGCATAAGTTTCTGTAAGTCCTGTCGAAGTTATTTGTCCGCTTCACCTAAGCATAAGTTTCAGTAAATCCTGTCGAACTTATTTGCCTCAGCCTTACCTAAGCATAAACTTCATAAATGCGGGGAA